ACACACACACACAAGAGAACAACGGCCAGGAAAGTTACAATACTAAAGGAAACCCTCTTCAAGAATGTTTCTTTATGATTTCAACACAAAATAGACCTTTGGAAGTCTAAGTTACCTTTCGAAAGCAAACTGGAAACTCAATCGGCACTGTAAGCATCAATAATTGTACTGCAGTAAAAGGGATCTGTGATTCTGAGGCTGCTGAATATGAAAGTTAATATCTTTAGAGTTATGACTCCGTGTAGTATGATAGACCGCTACCAACGTTTCGCACGAACCTTCAAATTCTACGTGTCCCGTTATGATACCCTTTTGACAGATAAATTGCCCTAATAATACTGCTGAAGTATGAAAATTTTGAAGCTCCTCATTATGTAATTTCATCCTTACACTCGTCTCATAAGGTGAGGGCAGACCAAGGAAACTGGCAACCGCAACGCAACCGCAATTTCCGAGAATTGTTATCAGTCTGAGTTGAACACATGGTACTGAATGGAGCAGAGCAAATTGGGGAAACGGCACGGCAGTGCTCCACTCAGTAACATGTGTTCAACTGAGGCTGATAACAATTCTCGGAAATTGCGGTTGCGTTGCGGTTGCCAGTTTCCTTGATGTGCCTTCGCCCTTAGATCCAAGCAGTCTCCGCAGAGAAAAAAAAACTGTCAGATACATTCATCCTTTTCTCCCATTAATACCGCCTGTCTCCGTACCCTTCTTGGTTAGTTTCCTTCCTAAGCCGCAGTACATGTACACCATGCTTGTAGCATTCTTCGCCATGGGCAAGCGGTGTGAAAAGTTTTCCAGTCTCAGTTCTTCACAATACTTTTCTTAGAATTTATTGCAGAGCTTTTCAGCCTTCTTCAACTCACGGCACACCGAACAGGGCACTAAAATTGTGAAGACATACCATCGATTTTTAAAGAAAAGCTCTTATCATTAACAAAACGAGTAATAAAACTGTGTTAAAATTTCAATAGCCAAAGTTCTAATCATTGTGTTGCTTCTAAAAATAATATTGATCATGGATTTCGAAGATTATTTTATTCCTCGAATCCTTCTCCCTTCTTTTCGACTTTTCCTCAAACTCCAGCGGGATACCTGCGGACCCTTCGCGTCACACTGGTTGAAAATTGCTGATATAATGTAACACATATTCAAAATACTTTAAAATCTACATTTTGAAAAATGCTTTAACCATGAGAGGTTTAAATTGAGGGAACATTTTTGACAGTCGTAGATACCAGGGTGTAAAATTCTGATGTATCGTAAAATTATATAATATCGTGACATGGCGATTGAAAGAATTGGCGGTTGCTAGGCAACGGTCGCAAAAAACAGACTATGATGCCGTGTTTCCTACGCGGTCCTTGTCAAGGCTGTATTACGTTGCTA